TTCCGAAACCCACATCTAATATGACGTTAGATTGCCGCTGTGCCTATCAGCAAGTCATTTTGGCCGCATGTGGTGTCTTCATCCACTGTGCGATTCTCTCTGTTCGCAATCTAGGAAACCTGTTAGGCCTAGGCTTTTTTCCCCCTTCAAAAATCTTTGTCCATTTACTTTATTCTTTTTTAGTGGCTGCTGATGCTGCAATCCAAAGCGATAATGTTAGCTTGGGAATTGCAGATGAAACTGACGAGTGCTCGTCTTTGAACTCAGAAAGCGGGTGATATGTGCATATCTATAAATGTGTGGTTCGAATCAGACCAACAGGTCCAAGTCGATGTGCGATATTAGGTTGATTAACCTCCACATACTTCCGATTAATTTAGGTCAGGATTATTCTGCCATTTTACGGTGAGGTGTGCCTGGATGTAAACGCTTGAGCAGGAACTCGTTGCAACCCTTTTGAATGCGGGCAAGAAGTTGAAGAAAAAGGACTTGATCACCGGAACGGAAAGCCAACTTTCAGGATTCCTTCTAGAAGGTGTTCGGATACCTGCCAGCAACTCACTTGTGTATAGAAATACACCAACATGGATGACAATTGCTACGTTTCCAGTCACCCGGAAAGCAGCCTAACAGCAACTAGGCTATAGTTGTTGGAGTAGCGACGGAAACAATAAAAAAGCACCGACTTTCCATATCTGCATAATAACTATGAAGGAGATCCGAAGTCTAACTGTTCACATTTAGCCGTTCAACTGTGACTTCTACATGTCTACTAAAAGTGACTTCGGTATCGTAACTACCAAAAGCCATTGTTCAGTGTCAATGTAGAAGCTGATTACCTCAGCCATGTAGCTGGAACCTAATCGCAATAGCCGCAGATACATGGGGATACGGAGGGTCTGCGACGACAGTGGGTTTTACCTGTTGGCCGATCTAATATGCCGTGTGGATATTGGAAGACACGATGGCGTCTCATCTTTAGGGTCAAATTACTGGCTATTAAGAGGAAGAATGACGAAAGTGAAAAGCAATGTGAAAAGGAACAAGGACGATGCGATCACGTGAGAAAATAACATGTTTCGACCATCCGCTCCAAGACAAATGCTTCTGACAGTGCCTACTCCAAATATTTGGTTCGATATTTCGACTCCCATGCAGTACGAAGCAGATAAAGCTCGTGAACGTGATTGTACGGTCACATTGAGGACCTGCTTGGGGCTCAGCGTGTGCAGTCTTAGATAGTCTGGAAACATTTGGGAAGTTTATCCGATAGTATCCGTCCATATATTACAGTCATAATCAGCAGAAACTGTGTATGAGCGTGTTCACGCCTTATGACCAGACTTTATCTGGTGTCTCATCACTTAGGGTTACGACATCAAGGTAAGCCCGACTGCGATGAGAAGAGCGCCGAGATTGAATATGTTTAAAACCTGCTCCTCAGACTGTACCACCTCTCACCTGTAGTGCCGAAACGACTTACAGTGCGAAGCCGTGGAGGATTCAGACTCGCAGTTCCCCGACTCTCTTTGGTGCCGGTTCCAGTTAAAAGGCAGGGACGCTTGCCTTATTGTCTTCGTGTACCGCGCCCCTAACTCAACACACGAAACCGACTGCCACCTAGCGGCTGCTTTAAGATGCAGTTTACAACAAAAGTACACTCACATTCTTATCATGGGTGGTTTCAACGTGCATTGTTTAGAAACTCCCGCCACGATCGGAGAACAGTTCAAAGCCGATCTTCAAGACCTAGTTACTACTGTTCCTCTTTACGATCATATCACATGGCCCACTCGGTTCAGAACAGGTAACAGGCCATCTGTGCTGGATCTTGTGCTTACCAACGAGGAGCATATGATTGATGTGTTGGTTTTAGACTGCCCGTTGGGTCGCAGTGATCACGCAGTCATCAGTTTAAACTTCGTCTGCTATGCGGAATATCGGAATGAGAAAGATGAGACTGTGCGAACCATCACAAGCTACGATCGAGTAGCCCAGCTAGTCAGCACCACAACTTGGTCGTTCCTTGCCGAAGAACCCCCGGAAGTCGCCTGGCTCGAGTTCGTCAACAACTTCAGTCAGCTGATTGCAGAGGCTTCAGAGGTAAAAGTTCGCTGTAAGTGTAAATCAGTTTCTTACGTTAGGAGCAGAACTCGAAAATAGATTACAGTACACAACGCAGCATAGCGAGTGTACAGAGAAGCTCCAGCACAAGAAACTGGGGACAACTACGTAGTGCAACGTAACCAGTGCAGTCAACTGTTAAGAGAAGACAAAGCCGGCTATCAGCAGAACATCGCGAAAACCTTCACTGCTAACCACAAGCTGCTGTACAAGCACGTCAATCGCCTGCGAAAGGTGAGGCAAGGATTTCCTCCACTCAGGACGGCTGATGGCACAACAAGTACGGCTGTGGAAGCAGCAAACGCGCTGCAGATGCAATACGCCTCCCACGTTTCAAAGGGTCTTGCCACCATACGACCTACCAAGCTTTGACTTCTCCTTGCCAGGACTAACCCATATCACTTTTACCGCAGAGACTGTGTTGCGAAAGCTGACGTCTCTACGGAAACACAGGTCGCCGGGTGTCGACACCTTTCGTCCTGAGGCACTGGAATCAACAGCAAGCCAACTGGCAAGACCTTTAGCTCCGTTTTTCCAACGCTGCTTAGACCAGAACCAAGTTCCCGCCATGTGGAAGCTTGCAATAATAACCCCGCTTCAGAAAGCGGGAATCAGAACTGATCCCCCAACTACCGCCCAGGATCCCTTATTCCTGTACTCTTCAAGGTCATAGAATCCATAGTTGTCGATACGCTGGGGTGCTATCTAGAAAACTGTAACATCATCACTCCTGAGCAGCACGGCTTCCATCGGCAGAGGTCATGTACAACGAATTTACTAATTACACGCAGTAGTTGGACCGAGGCAGATGACGCTGGAGATGGTGTTGATGTGATCTAACTGGATTTTGCCAAGGCTTTCGATCGTCTAGACCATCGGATACTACTCTCCAAGCTGCAGCATTACGGGATTGGCGACCCTCTTTTAAGCTGGATCGCCAACTTTCTACTTCAACGGCAATTAGTGGTCAGAGTTCGGAGCTCTTTATCGAACCCCACACAAGTCGAGTGTGGTGTGCCGCAAGGCTCAGTTCTAGGTCCACGTTTGCTTTTGGTGTTTATTAATAGCCTTGCACAGGGAATCGCTTCAAACTTCCTAATGTTTGAGGACGATATCAAGATCTGGCACAGGATCCAGGCGAACGCCGACCAACATGTGCTTCAGAGTAATCTGGATACGGTATATCAATGGTCTGTCCAAAACGTATTGCATTTCAACGTCAGTAAATGCAAGATGCTTTCCATCCGATATCAGAGTAGCTACTCATACCAGCTCGCAACGAATATACTAAAACAATCAACTCTCGAGCGTGACTTGGGTGTCCTGGTTCAAAATGAAAAATGAAAAATGAACAATGAATTTATACGGGTTAAGAAGCGTTGCTTTACAAGTCCCGTTGGATAGTTGCAGGGGATATCAACATAACAATAATGATGATAAGGATAGTAAAATAGTTAATACTTTAAATATGAAAATAAGGCTTATCGTTTGCTTCGCTGCAGTCCTGCAATCCTCTTAGATTCACAGCATGGGTTGCTCCAAGCAATCCGAAAATGCCTCGAAGACCGGGAACCAACACGTCGGGCTGTTGCGAAGGGCGTTTGGGCAAATAAACAGCTCCATATTTCGACAAATGCTTAGTGCTTATGTTCGCCCCCATGTCGAATACGCAATTCAAGCGTGACATCCATGGCTGAAACACGACCTTAATGTACTGGAGCAGCCACAACGCCGGGCATCCAAGAACGTAATTGGAATGCGCAATCTGTCCTACCAGGAGAGACTTCAACAATTGGGGTGTTCAGTGGAAGGCATCGCAGACTACGAGGTGACGTGATTATAGCATACTTGATTCTGCGAGACCCACATCAGGTGTGCCGTCTTTTAGTGCAACTCAGCAGCAATATAAACCGGAGGGGCCACACATTAAAACTCGCAGAACAATACAGTCGTCTGGAGTGCCGAAGAAATTTCTTTTCCATTCGTGTCGGTCACCCGTGGAATGCTCTCCCAAAATCGGTCGTCTCTGCACTGACACTAACAGTATTTAAAAGACGGTTGGACGACGCACTCATCCACTAACACTTTGTTACTTAACACTAGGTCTCCATCCTACTCTTGGAGTATACCATGGAATTATTTGTTGTTAACCGTGGATGCTGTGAATCTAAGTGGATCGCGGGACTACAGCGGAGCATACGATAAGTCCTCATTTCCATATTTAAATTATTACCTATTTTACTATCCTTATCAACACTATTGTTATGTTGATATCCCAACGTACTATTCAACGGGGCTTGTAAAGTAACGCTTCTTAACCCGTATGAATTCATTGTTCATTGTGCATTACCTAGATTGATGATTGTGTTGCATGAACAACCATCGTGTTAATATCCGGTCTAGTTTAAGTTACCCATCTAAGTTACCTGCACGACATTCACATGTAGTGCCACATTAGTCACATGGTGGTAATGGTCTTGAGTGCTTCTTGACATCTTAAAATGCTTAAAGATAAATATGGTACACGTAAACCGATCGACAGCATACACTATTACATTTGGATTATTAGATTCACCACACCCAAAAGCTACAAGGTCAGAAAACTGAATATTTTCGCGACTGGTGAGCAACAGGTGCTGTAAGAGACAGCTCTTTGATCTGTATCTAATTTCAGATAAGCGGACCAGGAAAACTGCGGTAACGAGTAGGTACTGTGATTTTCATCCTGCATCCATCAACTTGAGTACACAAATTTTGAATGTATGGAATTAATGTCAACAGTTACAAGAGACTACCGTCCAAACGCGGCTATTAGTAGTAGTGTAAGTTTTTCAGGTTGAAAATGTGATGCTTAAAAAGTTGACCGAATGACTCACCCATGTTTTCGTCCGTGGCGTTCCGGGCACACACTGTTCGGTCTTCTATGTCCTAGAAAACGAGCTGGAACATGAAGGGTCTTACACTTCCAACATCACTTTCGGATCTAGTCGGGCCTGGTATACTTCGAGCTGTTGCTTGAGGTGGACCCAAGGATGAGTGCCTAGTTCGATTACTCACATGCGAATGGGAATTGATCGCACGCTGAAATGCGTAATCAACCAAAGCCCGCAAGTTAGACATGTGTCTGTGTGCCAACTCACTGTCTTCTGCCACGTGGTCACAGTAGTAGTGAATTAGCTCGTGTGGAATATGACTTCGCACATAGCGATGCGCTCGCCTTTGTATCATCCGTTTCCGTCTGTTAGACATTGTGGAGAGCTGGATTAGAATAATAACAAGGTAGGTTCTTGGCTCAAGTGCTTACTGGTAGTTCGTAGCGAGCCATCACTTCATACATTACTTCTGTGATGATGGCGTTAAGGGAATGGCATAGGTGCGTCTGAGAAGCGCCCATGATGCACAGTAAAATTAATCACTTTCAAAATGACAAAAGACATGGTAGCCACCCGTAAACTGTCAGCAAAGTGCATATTCACTTGCAAACGCATGCACATTGGTGTGTGTACATGCAACGGGCAATCACGCGATTGGCTGTTCCACAATGTCTGTTAAAACTTTGCTAGGGTTGACGAAATGTGGTACCGCAAAGTGCAAGTAATACAGATGACGAATTCCTCGCATCCGGGCTAAGCGTAGGAAAATTTCGATTAACGAAACACGACCTTGAAAGCACCGAGGAATGAGAGCGCGTTCATCTACTCATGTAGGTGCGCATCACGTACAGTGACGTGCCTCTGTTAGGATGACGCGGCTCAGGAGGCTTCTAACCGTAAACAAAGGCAACTACTATTAATAATATTAACGAAAATTTCGCGATATATCGTGGTGTTACCTTCTTGATGAGGCGAGATCACTGTTACTGGAAGGTAATATCGACAGTGTGTGTCTGATGTAGTTGAAGTACACAAAAGGGTAGGCGACTGTGACGTTTGCATTGTGAGCGGTAGATCAGGAGCCCAAACGACAGTTGTTACTATCACAACCAACAACAACAAAAAGACTCCTCCTTTTTTCGGTCCATAGTGGTAGGGCATTCGAGAACTTGTCCTCAATGAAGGCAACAAAACGAAGGAGGAATCGTTAGAGAGCCCAACTATTTGGCTAAAAGAATTGGTTAAAATTAGGGTTTTAAATATACCTTATGTACCGCCGATGTACCAGTTTTGCAAAGGCAGTCTGGCAGATGACAAATACAAAGTCAATGAGAGCGTCCTAACCTAACCATAATTTGAATAAAAAGCATGAGATATTGCAGAAAATGTGCGATTCAATGCATTTTGACGAGTAAGTTTACACTAACTGAAACCAGTTATACAGAAAGGTTTTTATAAAACTGCTCTGTTTATTGGATGCAAATCCCTAATGTTCTGTTTGGCATTCTGTGCTCATTGCTCTGGAAAGTGGGACCGTTTCCTTAAGTGACGGCAATGCACCATTTTCATTCTTGTCTATCTATTCGCACAATTTCGCATTTTTGATGACGCCAATCTAGTCTCTCTGCTGATGATAATGCAGAAATGTTGAAAATGCACTCATTTGAGTACCTAAAGCTTAGCTTGACTTGACTTTAATTCCAGTGGAAAGCCGAAACCTGACGATCTACAATCGAGGCAATTTAAATCACTAATAACCCGCGAAGAGATTACTGCTAAATACGAGTTTCCCTGAGGAAACGTCGGGATAACTAAGCTTTGTGAAAGTGAATACCTATACCTTGCAAGTTTCGCGCTTCCGATCACTATGTGCGGAAAGATTAAGTATTTTCATGCTGTTTGTCATGGTACTTAGTTGGTTTAAGTCAGCGGTTGTCAAAGCTTTTGGGTCGTGGACCACTTTTCAGTGAAAGATGGCACGGCGGGCGCCGTGAGATATTTTAAGCACAGGACTAGAATTTATTGAACTAAGAACTAGGCGGTGTCCTAAAAACGTTAATTACTGTACATTGAACTAACGAGTGTGCATTTATGCTTGTGCAAAAATGAACAATGTTGAATAGAGGTAGCAAAAACTGCGCACATTGATGGAGTGGCTATGGGATCTCGTTTGGGGCCGTTGTTGGCTGATATCTTTATGGCGAAATTAGAACATGGCCCACTCAGGACGCACATCTGTGGAACTGAAATGTACATACGGTACGTCGATGACACCTTCGTGCTTTGCGAATCCGAAAAGCATGCAGAACAGTTGCTGAAGGCCTTTAATGATGCACATGATAATCTACGCTTCACCTGTGAGCACGAAAATAAAAACCGTTTACCTTTCTTGGATGTAGAAGTCATCCGCAATTCGGACGGCTCATGTAGCAGAAAGGTACACAGAAAGCATACGTGGACCGGACAGTACACTAACTTTCACAGCGCGGTGCCTTTACAGCACAAGAGGAGTTTAGTCCGATCTCTTGCCTTCAGGGCGCGCAGTATTTGCACTCCGGATACCGTCAACGAAGAGCTACAGAGAATCAGCGACGCCCTTCGTGAGAATGGTTACCCCGATAAGTTTATCATGAAGCATATGAAAGAAAGCAAGCGAAAGCCACCTAGAAGCATTGCTCCCAAGAAAGAGCTGTCCATACATTTACCAATTAAGGGCGATACTGCGGCTGATATCTTATCTCGACGTTTGAAAGATGCTGTTGAGAAAACTTATTTCGCAGCCCGCTTAAGAACTGTTTACCACAACAAACCATTGCTTGCAAAACCCTTGAAAGATAGTCTGCCATCGTTGACTCGTTCAATGCTCCTTTATCAGTACTCGTGTTCCTGTGGTGCACGATACGTGGGTCGCAAAACGAGACGTCTATCCCAGAGGATTCGCGAGCACATCCCGGAGTGGTTTTACAAAGGCGAAATGAGGGCCTCAGACAGCTCAATCATGTCGCACCTGCTCGAAAGTGGCCATACTGCATCTGAGAATGACTTTAAAGTCATCTATTCACTACCTGAACGCTTATCACAAGGCTTCCGAAAGCAAATCTTGTTTGTCGCCGAGGCTATTTACATCCATCATCTGAAGCCGGAATTATGCGTACACAAACGATTCATACGGCCGATACTACTACCTTGGCCGACTGACATGGTTACTTAACTACCCTTTGTGACCTTAGCTATTTGCTTTAGGCCCTGAAGCTGGTATTATTTTTCTTTGATGCACTTTTCCTACCATCTGCAGCCACCTTTAGTCATCGATCTTGACCTTTCAAACACCTTAGAAATCAATCCCAGCCAGATTTGACGCTTACCCCACATAATCCGTGTCATGTAAAAGTTTGGGTCTGACGAGAGTTTACCGAAAAGATATCTTAACCCTGAACTGTTTTCTGGTCTTGATACATCTGATTACAATGGGAATATTTGCTGTGTTGTAAATCAGCATTCCCCGTGATTCGTTGAAAATTAATTATTTGACAGAACCTAAAGCGCGAAGCGGGATCGGTACGCTTTAAAACCTATACGCGAAAATAAGGCCAACCTCCGGTGAGTGGAGAAAACCAAATGTAACGCTAGGAAAAATTTATTAAGTGGGCGAAAGGCTATCTAGTGCTAAAAATAAGGCACCGAAAGATAGCTAGCTAGGGAAAGGTGTGGTCGCGTGCGCGGAGAGCAAAGATGGCAGCGGAGCCGAGGAGCGTCGCGCCGTTCGAAGGCGGATGCTATCTGACTCAAACAAACGCGAGCAACATTCAAACAGGCGAGCGGCTATTTTGCTATGTACATCGAGAAAATATAATTTTGTGATTTTGTAATATTTTACGCAGCATGCGGCAGCCAAACAGGGAAATCTCCAGGTCACTACACAGCCCCCCTCTTAGAAGGGAACCGTAGGTGACCCTTCGATCTACGTGAGGACTGTCCGTCGCCGGCCAGCCTTCTGCGAGACCAGGCGGTGAAACCTGATGCAGCTGCTGGGGGAGAACCAATGCGATCGGACGCTAGGGGGGCTCCCACCCGTGTCCTCCCTACAGGTGCCAAAAACACAAAATGGGGGAAATGTTCGCAGCGTTCGAGTGCGTAGTGTCAAAGCACACGATGTTTGAGCACGTAGTGTCCGCAAACGTAACGTTCGATCGTCGTTGAACGTCCGCGTGTCGAGGATATGAAAAAGAAGCGGAGACGCGGAGTGTCAAACAGGTGCGAGCGACAGAGCTAACGAAAAACGATAGCACTTACGAGTGCGATAAGCAAATAAAGCGAGAACCCTTTTGTGTTTTCAAAACGATTTTCTCCTTTTTTTGGGTTTTCAAAACGTCTTTGCGGTTTTTGGGGTTTTCAAAACGCTTTGCAAATTTTTGGGTTTTCAAATCGTTTTTGTTGGGCGGGTTAGGCCACAAGCAAAAAGGAAGCGGGAAAAGAAGAATGAAAAGAAGACTAATCTTTTAATCGCGCTGGCCAATGAACCCGCCTACCTGATCTAGTCGATTTCGGACGTTCGGTCGGAGGCGTTGTCGATCCAGCAGTTTTGTCGGATGAGGACGCTTTCGGCTCGATAGAAACGTAAGGAACTGAGTCGGAAGAGTTGGTCGGAGAATGCTTCGCAGCATCGGAAGTAGGCGTATCGTCGATCATGGGCTGCGTTGACTCGTCCGAAGATGGACCAAGTCATCGTTTGACCACTCGCTCTCGGCTTTCTCCTAGCTTACTTCTTACCATGGCCGAGGAGGACGTTGCTGCTCTAGTCATCGACAATGGACCAGGAATGTGCAAGGCTGGCTTCGCCGGTGACGATGCCCCGCGTGCCGTGTTCCCTTCCATTGTCGGCCGACCACGTCACCAGGGTGTGATGGTTGGCATGGGCCAGAAGGATAGTTATGTCGGTGAGTGGAGAAAACCAAATGTAACGCTAGGAAAAATTTATTAAGTGGGCGAAAGGCTATCTAGTGCTAAAAATAAGGCACCGAAAGATAGCTAGCTAGGGAAAGGTGTGGTCGCGTGCGCGGAGAGCAAAGATGGCAGCGGAGCCGAGGAGCGTCGCGCCGTTCGAAGGCGGATGCTATCTGACTCAAACAAACGCGAGCAACGTTCAAACAGGCGAGCGGCTATTTTGCTATGTACATCGAGAAAATATAATTTTGTGATTTTGTAATATTTTACGCAGCATGCGGCAGCCAAACAGGGAAATCTCCAGGTCACTACAAACCAATTGTTGCTGACATCCAGGGCTGACTTCAATGTTGTTTGGCGTTATTGAGGAAAACTATAACCTCATATCTGGTTGAGCTTCAAGTCTATACTGTGGTACTTTGTATCTGTCTAGGCGTAATGAGAAAATGCACTTTTCTACGGATAAGTTGTGGCAGGTGAAAGAAGCACGGCGACAGCCGTCTTTGCTATGCAATGGCACTAGTCCTTCATTTTACACCAGAAATCAGACACGGAAACTAAAACTTTTCCTAAAGCGAAGAATATGATACAAACTATTACTACAATCTAATTCGACGAGGAATATTCCTGTGACACATTTGTCCATGTACTTGTCTCGAGCTAATGAAATAGTC